TGCGGAAAGCTGAAAATGGCTGGGTTGAAGCGGAAAACAGTCGCAAAAGAGGATGACCATATTACAAGTGATATATGGGCTCCATTTACATTGTCATATAATGCAGTTTGAAATTGCATTGTATGGTCAGGGCTCAGGTGCCATTGCCTGCCGTTGTATTTATTTATTTATTTATTTATTTATTTATTTATTTATTTATTTATCATGTCAGAAGCAAATTGAGAATACAGTTATAATGTGTAAAAAAAACCTCAAACAAAGTTAAAAACTTGGCATTATCCTAAATTTACTTTGACCAGTAACTGGCCACTTGGAGTGCCTGTGGTGTTGCTACAAGAAGGTCCTCCATGTGCATGTGGCAGGGCTCAGGCTGCATTGTAGTTGGTGCATCTGTGGTTTGATCTTCTCCACACTCGCATGTCGTGGACTCCACTTTGTGGCCCCATTTCTTAAGGTTGGCTCTGCATCTCGTGGTGCCAGAGCGCAGTCTGTTCCGTTCAGTCTTCTGTGTGCCCAGGTGGCAGTTTCTCATCCGGTCTCAGCCACTGATTGAGGTGCTGGGTTTTAGCCTGCCACTTTTGGATTCTTGCTTGCTGGGGTGTTCCTGCGAGTTTATCTTTAAATCTTAGAAAGCTGTTTCTTGATTTAAAGCGTTGTCTTGCTAGCTGATATCCAAACAGAGGATGCCTTGATCCTTTCATTACAGTCTGCTACTTCCCGGTGGATGTCAGGTGCTGCAATAGCGGCTAAGCAGTATAATTTCTCCAGTTGTGTAGGGATTAGACATACTGTAATAAAGTGGCATGTCTCATTAAGGATTATTGTCTTCCAGATGTGGTGTCTTGATGGTGGGTCTGTAGGTGGCTGTGGAGCCCTATTCTTGATCCGCATGTTCTTCCACAGTGAGGACATCGGTTTCTAGGTGGAGGGTGCTTCCGGTTGGGGTTGGCTTGATGTACCTTTCTCTTGGCACGTTTCTCTCTTTTGCCCTCCATTCGTGCGTCTTCAAATTCTACAGCACTGCTGGTCACAGCTTACCCCCAGCTAGAGCGCTCAAGGGCCAGGGCTTCCCAGTTCTCAGGGTTTATGCCACAGTTTTTAAGGTTGGCTTTGAGCCCATCTTTAAATCTCTTTTTTTCCCCACCAACATTCCATTTTCCGTTCTTGACCTCAGAATAGAGAAACTGCTTTGCGAGATGGTGGTATAGCATTTGGACAACGTGGCCAGTCTAGTGGAGTTGATGGCGGAGGACTATCACTTCAATGCTCGTGGCCCTTCTTCCAGCATGCTGACATGTGTCTGCCTGTCTTCCCAAGAGATTTGCAGTATTTTTCAGAGGCAACACTGATGGAATCGTTCCAGGAGTTACATGTGACGTCTGTAGATAGTCCACATCTCGCAGACATATAGCAGGGTTGGGAGAACAATAGCTTTATAAACAAGCACCTTGGTATCCCTATGGATGTCCTGGTCCTCAAACACTTTGTGCTTCATTTGGAACACTGGGCATGCATATTCAGCAGCAGCGTAGCAAAGCACAAGGGTATATGTCTTCACTGTATCTGGTTGTGATCTCCAGGTTGTGCCAGTCAGCTTTCGTATGATATTATTTCTAGTCCCCACTTTTTGCTTGATATTCAAGCAGTGCTTCTTGTAGGTCAGAGGACAGTCCAGAGTGTTTGGTGTCCTGCAATGCTCCAGTGGGATTCCTTCCCAAGTCATCCTCAGAGTCCAAAAGTGATGGTCTAAAACCTTGAACCATGGCTGATACCAGTTGAGAGACTCCCTCCTGGGCACACTGAAGAGTGGGTGACTTGGGAGGTGCTGAACAGACTGTGCTCTGGCACCACGAGATGCAGAGCCAACTTTAATAAATGGGGCTACAAAGTGGAGTCCACGACATGCGAATGTGGAGAAGAGCAAACCACAGACCACCTACTGCAATGCAGCCTGAGCTCTGCCACATGCACAATGGAAGACCTTCTTCCAATGACACCAGAGGCATTCCAAGTGGCCGCCTTCTGGTCAAAGGAAATCTAGCATAATGCCAAGTTTTTAACTTTGTTTGTGGTTCTTCGATATAACTATAGTCTCAATTCATTTTTACCATGATAAATAAATAAGCCAACCCACTTTTCTTTCCCTCTGTCCTGGGCCCAAAAGGAATAATAATAATAATAATAATAATAATAATAATAATAATAATAGTGCGGTTTTCTGGCATTGTATATTTCCGTGGCTTCTGTGAATGTTCACTTGTATTTTGATTCTGTAGCCCACTTGTCGATGGATTTCCAGAATCAAGAGCAACCGCCACGATCCTTTTTATCCTGGGCATCGACCGAGCCAGTATAGACTTTGTCTTGGTTTGTTTCTCCATAATGCTAATGGGTTAGGTGCTCTTAGTTCCACTCCTCAGCTGAGACCTCTCTGACTTGGTTGGACCTGCTGGTAGCTACACTACCACCAGCACAGCTCTCAGCATCCTTGGAGCAGTTAAGCCCTCCACCACAACAAGCTGCACACAAACGGAATACAAACAAAGACACAACTTTGTGGCCTAGACGATTCACTGGAAATTCTGTCACAAGGACTACCTGCCAGCAGTAAAGAATTGGTGGGATCACAAACCTGCAAAGGTCGTGGAAAATGAACACGCAAAAATACTGTGGGACTTTCGAATCCAGACTGTCAAAGTTTTGGAACACAATACACCAGACATCACGATTGTGGAAAAGAAAAAAAGTCTGGATGATTGATGTCGCCATACCAGGTGACAGCTGCATTGAGAAAAAACAACAGGAAAAACTCAGCCGCTATCAAGACCTCAAAATCAAATTGCAAAGGCTCTGGCATAAACCAGTACAGATGGCCCCAGTGGTCATCGGCACACTGGGTGCCGTGCCAAAAGATCTTAGCTGGCATTTGGAAACCATAAACATTGACAAAATCACGATCTGTCAACTGCAAAAGGCCACCTGACTTGGATCTGCGTGCATCATTCGAAAATACATCACACAGCCCTCGACGCTTGGGAAGTGTTTGACTTGTGATTTTGTGGTACGAAATCCAGAATATAGATCTCGTTTGCTGGGACATACTGTGTATTTGTGTCAGTAAAATAATAATAATAATAATAATAATAATAATAATAATAATAATTTATATTTTACCCTATCGCCCCAGAGGAACTCAGGGCAGATTCCAAACATAAAAGGCAAACATTCAATGCCTGAATAGAAACAACAATACATACAAAGTAATGAAATTTAGCATGGTTTTTGAAAGCTGAAATCATCAATTATTTTAATTTGGATCATGAAGGATATATGTGTCAAGTTTGGTCCCTTTTTTTCATGTCAGGAGTGACTTGAGAAACTACAAGTCGCTTCTGGTATGAGAGAATTGGCTGTCTGCAAGGACATTGCCCAAGGGTTGCCCAGATGTTTTGATGTTTTACCATCCTTGATGTTCCTGATCCATCAAGACATTTGGTGGGGGGGGGGGGGGGCTTTATGGCATGAACCAACCAACAGACATACAGTGGGTTGTTGTTGGTTTTTTTTTCAGGCTATATGGCTATGTTCCAGAGGCATTCTCTCCTGACGTTTCGCCTGCATCTATGGCAAGCATCCTCAGACCTCATTATTATTGTTATTATTATTATTATTATTATTATTATTATTATTATTATCTTTATTATACCCTGCAAAATCTCCCGAAGGACTCAATGCGGCTTACAAAGTCCAAGGCCGCCGACAGCAACCACATACAATACACAATAAACTCATAAGCAAATAATAAAACATCAAGCGAAACAATAAAACAATGACACCGTGACACAATTAAAACCAAGGCCGGGCCAAATGTAATGGACAAAGTTTAAAAAGTGCTGTCGTGACAAGTAATATGTGGAGGTATTTGGGTAGGTGCAATGTGCAGATAATCCTAAATCTCTAGCAAGATGCTGGAAAGGCACACTGGAACAGCCAGGTCTTCAGGCGCTTCCTAAAGACAGCCAACGTTGGGGCTTGTCTAATGTCCTTGGGGAGAGAGTTCCAGAGTCGGGGGGATACCACAGAGAAGGCCCTATCCCTCGTCCCCACCAAACGCGCCTGCGACGCAGGTGGGATCAAGAGCAAGGCCTCTCCAGATGATCAGAGGGAGCGTGCGGGTTCGTAAACGGAGATGTGGTCACGCAGGTAGGCACGTCCCAAACCGTTTAGGGCTTTGTAGGTAAGCACCTGCACCTTGAATTGGGACCGGAAAATTAACGGCAGCCAATGGAGCTCCTTGAACAGGAGGGTTGACCTCTCTCTGTAAGGATGCTTGCCATAGATGCAGGCAAAACGTCAGGAGAGAATGCCTCTAGAACATGGCCATATAGCCCGAAAAAACCTACAACCCAGTGATTCTGGCCATGAATGCCTTCTACAATAAACAAACATACATATTTGGACTTTTATAGAGAGTAGTAGTAGTTATTAATATTATTATTTACAAATTCTGTCTTAAATCAGAATGCTATGCCAGGTATTCCAAATAACATAACTGCACAGCAAAGCATTGTTTGCATTTTCATAGCACAGAGCCTCAAGCCTTACGTTATATTTCCCTTTGTTTAATTCCCTACTGGCAATCATAGGTCACTATAAAAGTGGCCAAATTTTGTGCTGCAGCTATAAAATTAAGGACAATTTTATAATTTCATGGCACTATCTACTGTTTAAGGTGCATAATTGAGACAACACTGCATTTGGAAAACATCTATAAATACCATCCCCATCCTTTGCACTTGCAAGACATGGCTGCTATGTGTTTATATAAGTTGGACGATACCATTATGGGGAGGGGACGTTTTCTCCCTTTGTTTGCGGTGCTTTGTCCTCCTCTTCGTAATTTTATAATATCGAGTGGATACCAAGCCCAAGATTGTATTTACAAGATTAAGGAAATGCATTAAAAGGGAGGAGAAAGAAGAGAATATTTTCTTCCCCCCCCTTTTTTTCTCTCTCCAGGGAATGGTTTCGCCCAAACGTCGCACTAAAAGGAGCCTTCCCCTGCAACGTTCCAAATCAGAACGTTGGCGGCCTCCACGTTCTGTTGGTGCCTTTGTTTACGGAAGCGTCTGCGTCGCAGGTGAATCCCCAGCCATGGCTGTCAAGATCAAGGTGGTCTATTGGTAAGGAAGGGCAATGGGAATGATTATGAAGAGGATGCAGTATTAATAAATATAATAATATTAATATTATTCCTGTATATTCCTCTTTTCCCTCTCTCAGTTATTCTTTTGTAAATACAATCTTGGGCTTTTCATGTTCCTTTAAAAATGAGTTATTTGAAAAAATATATATTAATACAGGGTTTACAGTTAGACCATTGAATATTGTAACTTATTCCTTCAAAGGCCTGCATCTTGGGGTTTAGTTCTCAATGGACATCACCATTATTATTAATAATAATAACATTATTATATTGTTATATTAATAATAATAATAATAATAGAATATTATTATTGATAATCTGGACCATATGGCAGTGTAGACTGTGGTGCAGCTGGCTGGGAGTCAGCAGCATTAAGTTCGAAGCCGGAGTGAGCTTCCAACCAATTTGCGTAGCTTGCTGTCGACCTTTGCAGCCCGAAGGACAGTTGCATCTGTCAAGTACCGCTTATGCAGGGAGGCTAATTTACGACGCCATAAAAATCTCCAGCAAGCATGCAAAGATTGAGGAAGTACTTCATCTGTGTCACAGGAGCCCCCAGTGGCACAGTGGGTTAAACCCCTGTCAGTTAAATGCCATAAAAATCTCCAGCAAGTATGCAGAGATTGAGGAAGTACTTCATCTGTGTCACAGGAGCCACCAGTGGCACAGTGGGTTAAACCCCTGTCAGTTAAATGCCATAAAAATCTCCAGCAAGCATGCAAAGATTGAGGAAGTACTTCATCTGTGTCACAGGAGCCCCCGGTGGCACAATGGGTTAAACCCCTGTCAGTTAACTGCCATAAAAATCTCCAGCAAGTATGCAAAGATTGAGGAAGTACTTCATCTGTGTCACAGGAGCCCCCAGTGGCACAGTGGGTTAAACCCTGTGCCAGCAGGACTGAAGACTGACAGGTCGCAGGTTCAAATCCGGGGAGAGGCGAATGAGCTCCCTCTATCAGCTCCAGCTCCTCATACGGGGACATGAGAGAAGCCTCCCACAAGGATGATCAAAACACCAAATCATCCGGGCGTCCCCTGGGCAACGTCCTTGCAGATGGCCAATTCTCTCACACCAGAAGCGACTTGCAGTTTCTCAAGTCACTCCTGACATGACAAAAAAATAAATAAGTCTGTGTCACAAATGGCCGGTGAAGCGATAGCTTCCCTGGTGCCCAGAATACCCTCATGAAAAAGCTGGAATGTTAAATAGCCTCTATGTGTCTGTCTATATATGTTATGTGTCTATGGCGTTGAATGTTTGCCATGTATATATGTACATTGTCATCTGCATTGAGTCCTCTGCAGGGTGAGAAGGGCGGAATATAAATACTGTAAATAAATAAATAAATAATAAATAGAAGGGGCCTTAAATTCCCCAATATATTGTACTTGTTTTTAGAGTAAACCACTTGAGGTCTCTTTTTAGCAATATGGTAACAACAATAATAATAACTCACAGCGAGGGCATAGAGATGCCAAACAGACAAACCATAAAATTCAATCAGCCTAAATCCTATAAATATCTGGGCATACTACAGTTGGACAATATCAAGCATGGGCATGTGAAAAATGTGGCCAGCAAAGAATATGTCCATAGGGTCAGAAAGGTTTTGAAGAGCAAATTAAATGGCAGAAATACGATCAAGTCTGTCAACACCTGGGCCACCCCCGTCATCAGATACTTCATCTTCATCATCATCATCATTATTATTATGAGGATTTAAATATCTGGCACAAGCCAGTAAAGGTGGTCCCATTGGTGATAGGAACACTGCATGCAGAGCCTTAAGACCTTGGCCGGCACTTAAAAACAATCGGTTCCACCAAAATTACCACCTGTCAGCTGCAAAAGGCCACCCTGCTTGGCTCTGCATGCATTATTTGCTGATACGTGATCGGGCCTTAAAACCACTTAAAATCTGGTTTCTTCCTCTTGCAGAATTCTGGGGTTTGTAGTTTAAGGAGGAGCCTTTAACAGCCTTGCTAAACTACATACCCCAGAATTCTGCAGAAGGCAGAAACTGGATTTTAAGTGGATTTTTTTCTGTAGCATGATGAAGCAAGTAAACTAATTCATTGTAAACTAAAGTTTATTTCATGCACAAAACTATTCACCTATTGTATTTAAAGTTCGCTTAAGGCAATGCATGTTAGGTGCTTATGAAACATAAATGAATATTGTGTTTAGACTTGGATCCCAACTCCAACGTATGACATTGTTGTTGTGTGCAGTCACGTTGTTTCTGACATATGTCAGCCCAAGAGTGAACTTATCACAGGGTTTTCTTGATAAGATTTGCCATTTCCTTCCTCTGAGACTGAGAGAGTGTGATTTAGTGGCTTTCATGGCAGAGTGGGAATTCAAACCCTAGACTCGAGAGAGTCATACTCCAGTGATTTACATACATACATACATACATACATACATACATACATGGAGTCCCCAGTTGTGCAGCACTGAGCTCTGAACTTGCTGACCACAAGGTCAGCGGTTCATATCCAGGGGGCAAGGTGAGCTCCCAGTGTTCACTCCAGCGTCTGCCAACCTAGCAGTTCGAAAACATGTAAATGTGAGTGTTCCGTTGCTGCCTGGGGAGCTATAGTTCTTAGTGAAAAATCAAGGACGTGCCAACTTTCCCCCAGGGGATTGCTTCTTGCCTTCCTTTAAAGAACTAGAACTCTCGAGGATCAACAAGACACTATAGAAAACTCGAAATAGGCTTTATTGTTTACAAGGAGTTATCTTTCTGAGGCATTAAACTTGATGTTCCAAAAAGGGCAAAGAAAATATACATTACAGTCTCTGGTTGTCTTGGGTCCAAGGAGTTTTCCAGCTGATTAGTTTCCAAGTGCCCTCTTTCTCAATGGTTATGAAGTCGAAACACTCACAACCCCAGTATAATTGCCTATATTGAAGACACAAAGTCTTCCTCTTGATGCCAAAGGACTGGTTTGAAGGCGCTTAAGATTCCTCAACGTCGTCCAGATGAGCTGGGCATGAAGTATGAATCCTAAGGCTATAAACTTGAGAATTGGTGGTAAGAAATGACTTGACCAAGGGCTTTGAGCCAAGCCTTTCGCACATCCATCTGTTGTGCTTTTGGTGGTAAGAATGAAAACGAAAGTAAAGTTTTTCTCCCTAGGAAGGGGTGGAGCCAAACAATTGAGCTGGGGGAGCAAGCCAATTGATGTAAAACAACATTGATTGACAGCTGTAGATAACCAATCAATTCAACTATACATTTACAAAGTGAACAGGCAAGTCTGGACATGTTACAACAGTTCAAACCTTCGCAACTTAAAGTTTTACATACAGATGGTGCCAGGTGCGCCGTCACAGTGAGATCAATAGGTACTGCTTCTGCGGGAAGGTAATGGCGCTCCAGGCAGTCATGCTGACCACATGACCTAGGAGGTTTCTATGGACAACACTGGCTCTTTGGCTCAGAAATGGAGATGAGCACCACCTTGAGGTCAAGGGGAAACTTTTACCAAATATATGTGTGTGTGTGCTTATATATATATTCTAAAATCCAAAGCTCTTCTTGTTCCAAGCATTTTAGATAAGGGATCCTCAACCCATATTATTATTATTTCCAAAATTATTATTATTATTATTATTATTATTATTATTCTCAGTCTGGAATGCCATTTATAACTCTTAAGCACATTTCAAAGTCGACAGAATGCCAGTGTTATCAAGCAGCATAATCACCATACAATTAAAATCAGTTAAACGCAAACATGCTAACGCACTGGCAATTAAAACAATAACAATTTATTGTTGAATGTGAAGTCAGCATGCTTCTGTAAACCTCAGTGAGCCAATCTGGCTCCTGTGGTTGGGACTAAGTGATAAAATTCCAAGTTAAACATACAAAGCTGTGTGAGTCTTTTTTTTTATCTTTCCGGATGCTCTTTCTTGCTAAACAGGGCCTTTTATCCATGCTGGAGTTTCCAAAGAGAGAGGCATGTTTGTGTGTTTTAATACAAACAACAGGAAGGTGTTTCATTATCTCTAAAGTTCATTTCAGCACAAACTTTTTTGAAGAACAGCCCTCTTTTTCAGATTAAAGAACGAGTGAGCACAAAAGTTTATGATGAAATAAGCTACTCCTCTCTACTTTTTTCTTGGAGATGCTTTCCTATCTGTGTTCCCTTTGGTTTTTTTTATCTTTGTCTTAGCACAAGCAGGTTGCTTAGAAACAGTGAAAAATGACTCTAGTCTAGCTTATAGGCAACAGAGAGATTCCTTTGACGCCATTTCCATTTCTAGGTGAGTGCATTTGTTGCAGCACACACTTCCAGATTTTTACTGATCCCTGCTAGTCTATGGTAAGTTTCTGGGGAAGAAAGTAAAAAATACACCAAAATTGGTACAGATTTCGGCCAGGTCCATAGTATATATAACACTGAATGAGAGAATGCTTTATGAGGTATATAAAATATTTAATTATTTATTTTTTCGAACATTTCTACCCCGTCCTTCTCAACCCCGGAAGGGGGACTCAGGGCGGCTTACAAAAATCAATGCCAACACATACAAAATCCATACACGATATATTACAACATTACACATTAAATAAAACCTTTAAGTTAAATCAATTTTAAAACATTATTAACAACCATTAGCCAAATGCAATCCAATCCAGCGTCTGAAGACTTTGTCAGAGCCTTTTCATTGGCAGTTCATGTAAACATTGCAATCGTTATCAAGTCTGCTCCCCAAATTCCTGGCCCCAGAACCATGATTTAAGCTTCTTCCTGAAGGAGAGGAGGGATGGAGCTGAACTAATCTCACTGGGGAGGGTGTTCCAGAGGCGGGGGGTCATCACCAAGAAGGTCCTGTCTCTCATCCCTGCCAAATGCGTTTGTGAGGAAGATGGGACCAAGAGCAGGGCCTCCCCGGATGATCTTAAAGTCTGAGGTGGGACATAGAAGGAGATACATTTGGACAAGTAAGCTGGGCCGGAATCGTATTATATATTATATACCATGGATGATATAATATTATTAAATATTATATCATTCATGATCAGGTAAACTGGGACAGACAAGTGTGAAATGTGCTGGGCCCATAACCCTTTTTGTTAGGGAAAACTATCTTAAAATATATAGCAGAGCATCCAAAAACAAACGAGATTCAAAAGTTGAGCATCAGAACATTAGGGAGCAGAGCATGAAGTGCTGTGTGATGTGACTAAAGAATCCAGAGCTTAGGAGGCAAATAATAGGGTCCAGTCTTTAAAAATTTTTACAAAAGGTTTATTTACAATAATAAAGAACTAACTATGGTACCAAATTGCCAATATCCGTTGGATAATGGAGAAAGGCAGGGAGTTGCAGAAAAACATCTATTTCTGTTTTATTAACTATTCTAAAGCCTTTGATGGTGTGGATCATAATAAATTGTGGCAAGTTCTTGGTGGTATGGGCATACCAAATCACCTTGTCTCTCTCCTGTGGAGTCTGTATAAGGACCAAGTAGCAACACTAAGAACTGACCGTGGAACAACAGACTGGTTCAGGATTGGGAAAGACGTATGGTAGGGTTGTATACTCTCATCCAACCTATTCAATTTGTATGCAGAACACCCCGATGTGTGGGGCTTGACAAATGCAAGGCTGGAGTTTAAATCGCTAGAAGAAACATTAACAACTTTAGATATGCAGATGATACCACTTTGATGGCTGAAAGCGAGGAGAAGCCGAAGAGCCTTCTAATCAAGGTGAAAGAAGAAAGTGCAAAAGCTGGGTTGCAGTTAAACATCAAAAATGCCAAGATCATGGCAACAAGAATGATTGATAATTGGCAAATAGAGGGAGAAAACATGGAGCTGTGACAGACTTTGTATTTCTAGCTGCAAAGATGACTGCAGACTCAGACTGCAGCCAGGAAATCAGAAGACGCTTGCTTCTTGGGAGGAGAGCAATGACCAATCTTGATAACATAGTGAAGCATAGAGACATCACACTGGCAATGAAGATCCGCATAGTTAAAGCAGTGGTATTCCCCGTAGTAACCTATGGATGTGAGAGTTGGATGATAGGGAAGGCTGAGCGAAGGAAGAGAGATGCTTTTGAACTGTGGTGCTGGGGGAAAATTTTGAGAGTGCTTTGGACAGCGAGAAGATCCAACCAGTCCATACTTCAGGAAATAAAGCCTGACTGCTCACTGGAGGGAAGGATATGAGAGGCAAAGGTGAAGTACTTTGGCCACATAATGAGAAGGCAGGAAAGCTTAGAGAAGACAATGATGCTGGGGAAAATGGAAGGAAAAAGGAAGAGGGGTCGACCAAGGGCAAGATGGATGGATGGTATCCTTGAAGTGACTGGCTTGACTCTGAAGGAGCTGGGGGCGGTGACGGCCGACAGGGAGCTCTGGCATGGACTGGTCCATGAAGTTGTGAAGAGTTGACAGCGACTGAACGAATAAACAACAACAACTACGGCACATTTCTTAATAAGAGCTGGGTCTGAGCTACTCTAACACCCATCTTTTCTAAGGTTTCAAATTATTTCATCACACTAGAGAAAAAATCCACTTAAAATACGGTTTCTGCTTCCTGCAGAATTCTGGATTTTGTAGTTTAGTGAGGCTGTTAAAGGCTCCTCCCTAAACTACAAACCCCAGAATTCTGCATGAGGCAGAAACCGGAGTTTAAGTGGATTTTTTCTCAAGTGTGATGAGGCCCAAAGAGAGGGAAAAACCCAAATCACGACATCTCTGACACACAAGCAGAGAGAGATCTCGAAGTATACAGCACATATGTTCCATGCTTAAGTGTAAGAAGGCAGAAGGCAGGTTTAAAAAGGCTTGCAGTAGAAAACTTTCCGTTTTAAACAACCAATCTGAATGAGAGCAGAAAGCGAGAAGAAAAAGAGACATTCCCAACTGTCATTCAGGAGACATGGGGAAAGTGGTCCTCAACCTGTGGGTCCCCAGGTGTTTTGGCCTACAACTCCCAGAAATCCCAGCCAGTTTACCAGTTGATAGAGCTCCTGGGAATTGAAGACCAAAACATCTGGGAACCCACAGGTTGTCTATACCAGTGGTTTTCAACCTGTGGGTCCCCAGATGTTTTGGCTTTCAACTCCCAGAAATCCTAACACCTGGTAAACTGGCTGGGATTTCTGGGAGTTGTAGGCCAAAAACATCTGGGGACCCCAGGTTGAGAACCACTGCATTAGTCTATACTAAGCTAACTAAACTGTTCCTCTATGAGGACTTGAGACTTGGGCAGTGTGGGGTTGAATTCCAACAACAACAATAATAAACTTTATTTATACCCAGCCATCATCTCTCCAAAGGGACTCGGGGCAGCTAACGTGAGGCCAAACCCAAACGAATTACAATAGAGTAAAAATACATATAAACAAAACAATAACATTAAATAAAATACTTAGTAATAACATAGTAAAATTGAATAAACAAAATCATAATAAAAACAAATGATAAAATTGTAATAGAATTAGACAAAGAGAGCCAAGCCCGTGACTAATAGTGGAAAGAGAATTGATAAAACACATCGGTGAGATAGGTAGAAAGTGCTATGATTTGTGAGGGGGCTTGTATAATTCTGCAGTATAATTCCGCATAAGAACTAAGGGGTTGTTTCAGAAGGCTCCTTCTACACTGCCATAACCAGGATTTCACTAGCCTCCTGAAGGACAAGAGGGAGGGGGCAGATCTAATCCTGCTCGGGATTAGATCCGCTCGGGAGAGAGTTCCATAGCCGAGGGGCCACCACAGAGAAGGCCCTGTCTCTCGTTCCCACCAAACACGCTTGCGAAGGTGGTGGGACCGAGAGCAGGGCCTCTCCGGAAGATCTTAATGTCCTTGATGGTTCAAAGCAGATTATCTGCTTTGAAGTGGATCATAAGAGTCTACACTCCCATTTATTTATTTACGACATTTACAGTAGTCCCTCACTACTTCGCGGTTCGCTTTTCTCAGACTCGCTGTTTTGCGGGTTTTTTTAATATTCATGTAAAATATTTATCGCAGTATTTTCGCTGTTTCACAGGTTTTTGAGGTACTTTCTCCCAAGAACAGTACAACCGACTGGTTCTCCCAAGAACAGTACAATCCAATACAGTTTGGATATAGCATAACTCTGGTGTAAATTTATGCTGCAAATAAACTTCTCCAAAAAGTTATTTTTCTAACTCAAGTTTGCTCTTAGGATTAGGGTGAAAAGAGGAATTATCTCTGATCGTTGCCTTGCACAGGTTGTTTACCTATGGCTCTTGTACTAGACGTTTAAGAAACCTTTTTGCTCAGTGTTTCTCATACTATCTGATATGAGGAGCAATCAGTTGTGTTTTTAATCCATTATGCCAGTGACTGCCACTAAATTTGTGCCCATTCTTTCCTGGAAATTCCGCGTAGACCACAACTTTGAGGAGTAGCACTATTTTAGTTCACCTGTGCTACAAACATGACTCGTATTGTATAATCAAATGATGTCTTTTGTAGGCAGCATTTCCGATGATGGGAGAGAGGGAAGAATCTGTTATCATTCTTGATAATTTCTTCTAGTAACTATTTAATTTTTTTTCCAGTGGAGCCTGAGGATACAGTCCCAAGGTAAGCTGAGTCTTCAACCTGACATGTATTAAAAATGAATTTAACATCTCAGCCTACTTGGAAGAACACAAGTAACTTAATGGATGCAGTTGTTTAGTTTACCATATTTTCACCAGTGGTGCCCTTTAAGGCATAGCCCTGGGTTAAACAATGGGTTAAACACTTGTGCTGGCAAAACTGCTGACCAAAAGGTCAGTGGTTTGAATCTGGGAAGTGGGGTGCGCTCCCATCTGTCAGCTCCAGCTTCTCATGTGGGGACATGAGAGAAAGCCTTCCACAGGATGGTAAGACATCTGGCCAATGTCCTTGCAGATGGCCAGTTCTCTCACACCAGAAGTGATTTGCAATTCTCAAGTTGCTCCTGACACACACGCACAAAAAAAATTGCCACAGACCCTCTTCAAATCCAAATTGGGAATCATGCTCTCCAAAGGGAAGGGATCAATTTCCCCCACGAATTGCACATGGACTTGGGTGTTTCTGCACTCTAAAACTACTCTCTTCTTTCTTTGTTAGTATCAGCAGCTCAAGAAGGAACTCGAAATAGAGTTTCCGGGCAAGCTGGACATTGTAAGTATATGCACTTGGTGTAGGTTGAGTCCTATTGCTTCTTTGTGATTTCTGAATGAGGGACTGGGTCGATACTGCAGGAAAGGAAGGAAGGAGTAAGGAAAAAGAGAATGAAGGGAGGAAGAGGAAGGAAGGGAAGGAAGAAAGAAGGAAAGGGAAGGATAAAGGAAAGAGAAGGAAAAACAAGGGAAGGAAGGAAGAGGAGAGAGGGAAGAAGGGATGAAAGAGTGGAAGGGAAAGATGGAAGGAGAAAGAGGAGGGAGGAGGAAAGAAAGAGAAGGGAAAGGAGGAAAGGACGAAAGGGTGGAAGGGAAGGAGGAAGGAAAGAGGGAAGGAAGGAAGAAAAGGGTGGAAGGGAATGGAGGGAATGAGAAAGAGGAAGGGAGGGAGGGAAGAAGGAGGGAAGATAGGAAAGGCAAAAGGGAAGGAAGGAAGGAGAAAGGGAAAGGGAGGACGAAAGGTCAGGAGGGAAGGAAGGAGGAAGGAAAGGGAATGAAGGGAGGAAGAGGAAGGAAGGGAATGAAAGGAAGAAATAAAGAAGGGAAGGAAGAAGGGAAGGATAAAGAAGAAGAAAAGACAAAAGGGAAAGAAGGAAAAAAGAGGCAGAGAGGGAATGAAGGATGAAAGAGTGGGAGGGAAGGTTGGAAGGAGAAAGAGGGAGTGAAGGAGGAAAGAAAGACAAGGGAGGGAAGGATGGAAGGACGAAAGGGTTGAAGGGAAGGAGGAAGGAAAGAGAGAATAAAGAAAAGGGTGGAAGGGAATGGACGGAATGAGAAAGAGGGAGGGAGGAAAGAGGGAAGATAGGAAAAAAAAAAGGGAAGGAAGGAAGGAAAGAGAAAGGAAGGAGGGAAGGGAGGACGAAAGGAGAGGGAAGGAAGGAGGAAGGAAAGAGAGAAGGAAGGAAGGACGAAAGGGTGGAAGGGAAGAGGAAAGAAGGAGGGAAGGAAAAAGAGAGGAAAGAAAGGATATGATCGTGAGAGTGAGGAGGGCCTGAGAAAATAGCCCAAAGGGCCACATCCGGCCCCTGGTCCTAGGTTTACCCATACCTGGTATAGTTGATGGAATGAGGATGCCCCATTTCTTATAGCTAGTATACAGCAATACAAGGCCTAAGAGTGGAGGATGTTCAATGCTCTCATCAAATCAGAAATCCAAACTGTGGAGTGGTTTCTTATCTTCTCTTATTTTCCTTTTTCCATCTAGACTGGGGAAGGGACGCCTCAGGTCACAGGATGGTTCGAAGTGACAGTGGCAGGGAAGCTGGTGCATTCCAAAAAGGCAAGTATCTTTCCTCTTTAGGGAAAATAACCCAGTATCCTTAAAAAAAAAAACCATTTTTTTTCTAGAAGCCACGTGGCTTTTCTGAGAACTGCACAGGTTTTTTTTGTATGGAAAGGAAATTTCAGAACTTTCAAATTACAGATTTTGAATAAGAAATACTTTTTTAAAGCAGCCACATGTGTATTTCGTGCAAGACTGCTAAAATATATATGTAGCAAGAAGAAATAAAAAAATATTCTGCAGAATCCAGAAATCCTGCATAACAAGGCCTTGTGGTTGTAGTCAGTTTGAGGGTTTTTTCCCCTCTCTTATGTAATGTTTGGGCTGTGCAACTTTGAAAACGGCAAAGGTTGCAGCCACAATCTCAAACTTGCCATCTCATTGTTTGCATAAGTTTATAATGTACAATTTAGTATTGCATTTTGTGCACTTTGCCCCTTGTATATTCAATGCAAGCAGATAGGAAGTGGGGTTTTTTTCCACGTTTCTCTGTGAAATAAAAAGATGGTTAGTTTTTATTGCAAAACTGCAAAGTTTCTGGAACACGTGCCATTTCTCAGAAAGTGTGTAGTTTATGTTGTGTCCACAACAGCAGTAAATAAATTTAAAACAAAAATAAAAATTCACCATTTGTGATTACTTTCAGTATATTTTTTTCTTCCTGCCGAAGTTTTTGGAGGGATTGGGATTCTAGATTTGATTCCAGTTGAGAAACTGACAAGTTTCTTTTCCTCCCTACTTTCTTATAAGAGAGGAAAAAGAGTTTTGAAGTGATTAATAGCCTATCAAGGACAGTAATTCAGTCAAGAGTAGTTCCCAGTCTTGGGTTTACAGACGTTGTTGCACTTTAACCCACAGAAGGCTTGTCTAGCACGACCAGTTGTGGGGGATCCTTGGAAAAGGGAGGCCAGTAATTTCCAGGGACCTGTAGGTTGGGAACTACTGGAGTGTTGTGTGGTTTCTGGGCTTTATGGCCATGTTCCAGAAGCATTATCTCCTGACATTTCGCCTGCGTCTGTGGCTGGCGTCTTCAGAGGATCCTCCGAAGATGCCAGCTGCAGATGCAGGTGAAACATCAGGAGATAGTGCTGCTAAAACACGCCCGCATAGCCCAGAAACCCTAAACACTCCAATGATTCTGGCAATGAAAATGTATTTATTTACTAGCCGTCCCCTGCCATGCGTTGCTGTGGCCCAGTTTGTGTATATGTGTTTTGTGTGTGTATATGTGTGTGTGTATATAGTTGTGTATAAGTGTGTTTGCGTATATATATGTAGTTTTGCACATGCATTTTAAGTCCCTTCCGCGGTGTTCTTCAGTGTTTTTCTGAGTGATGGTCACTCGTTGGCCTGATAGGTGTCTTGTGTCCAAATCTGGTGTCAATTTGTCCAGCGGTTTTTGAGTTATGTTCATCCCACAAATGAACATTACATTTTTATTTATATAGATTGGACTTTAATACTGCTTTTCTCTCCCCTGACCGGACTCAAGGCAATTCCCGATATAATTAATGGCAAAATTAAATGCCTTACATGTATAAAACATCATATCAAAAAAACAAAAACAATAATCACAATAGATTAAAACAATTAAAATTATAAAACTATAAAACAACAGTCACACAATGTATTGTCGAAAGCTTTTATGGCCAGAATCACTGGGTTGTTGTAACTTTTTCAGGCTGTATGGCTATGTTCCAGAAGCATTCCCTCCTGACGTTTTGCCTGCATCTATGGCAGGCATCGTCAGAGTTTGTGAGGTCTGTTGGAAACTAGGAAAATGGGGTTTATATATCTGTGGGATGTCCAGGGTGGGAGAAAGAACTCTTGACTGTTGGAGGTAGGTGTGAAAGTGTTCTTGCCATACATCAAGGGAACCACTGACCGCATAGGGAAGCAGACGAGGAAACACAACTTACAAACATTCTATAGACCCACTAAGAAAAGCCAACAAATGCTACGTTCAGCAAAGGACAAAAGGGATCTTCTCACCTCTGCAGGAGTCTACCGTGCAGCTGTGGACAAGTCTACAGAGGGACCACCAAACAGCAGTATTGCCCAAACTTGAATCAAGGAACATGAAAGGCACTGCAGACTAAGTCAGCCATAGCAGAGCGCCTGATGAACCAACCTGAACACAGCATATTATTTGAGAACACAGCAATGCTGGCCCACTCTAACAACCACCATGTCAAAGTACATAGAGAAGCCACTTGAAATCCACAAGCACGAGGACAATTTCAACAGAAAGGGAGAAAAAACATGAAAATGAACAAAATCTGGCTACCAGTATATAAAAAAACTCTAAAATCATATCAGTAAATAAAGAACAACATTCAAAACAGGGAAACTCCAGACAAGAAACAGTCAGAGACAGCTAATCACCTTTCAAAAAAGGATTCCCCCAGGCAGAAAGCAGCCAGAACTTGAAAACTGCTAGTCCATTAAATGCTAATCAAGGTGGCCAATTGCAACCATCGCACTAACCTCCAACTGACATGAGTTCTTTCTCCCACCCTGGACATTATTCCACAGATATATAAACCCTATTTTCCTAGTTTCCAACAGACCTCACAATCTCTGAGGATGCCTGCCATAGATGCAGGTGAAATGTCAGGAGAGAATGCTTCTGGAACATGGCCATACAGTCCGAAAAACTTACAAGAACCCAACAATCACACACACTACATAAAACATTTTGCAACAATCCCGAGATTATCTTTAACTATTTCCATATTTCCATAAGCCTCTGACAATACATTGGGAACTACTGCTTGCTTTACATTCTTTTCAGTATAATGTTAAAGCGGGGTGGGGTGGGGGGTGGGATGTAACTCTTCCCTTAGGATGAAATTCAAGCTTTGTAGTAAAAGATGCTGGCCTGTATTCAATGAAGCATTTTTGGTCAGATAATTACATATTTTTTTTCCTTGCTGGATCAAGTTTTCCATTAGCCTCTTAGGTTGCCAGTGCCTGAAGCATTAGGGTGTTGGGTTTGGTTGGAAAATTGTTGCTCCTGCCCTACCCTTGTAGATGTGATCTTCATAGCTTTCCAGAATTATCTGATCCGTAGCCTTCCCACTCCTAAGAAGGTGGAGGCAGTAGGAATCCAGACCTTCACGCTGCTTCTAGGAGTTGAGTGAGAGCCAAGAACTTCCTGAATCTCTCAGTTCTTGTGGGTTTTTTTGGACTATATGGCCATGTTCTAGAGGCATTTCTCCTGACGTTTCGCCTGCATCTATGGCAAGCATCCTCAGAGAACTTCCTGAATGCTTGAGTCTGTGGGTCTTTGAATCATATTTTGTGGATCTTCAGAGACTTTCAGGAGGCCAGGAATTACTAGGGATATATTGTTTGGTGGCATAGCTGACTTTCCTACTCAGCCTTGCCTCTCTCAAAGAGTCTTGTCTTGGAAGACCCACAAACCAGGTATTAAGGAGGCAGCTACTTCTGTTATAGCTGAACCAGTTGCTAGTTGGGTTTGGTGGGCTCTGGCTGTTGTCATTTGTCCTTTTCTTTGGGGAGGGAACTCTGCTGTGCTGCCAAACATCTTCCACGACTTCCTTCTTTTTGAAGGTGTGACCAGAACAGAGCAGCAACACACAGCCAATTTAGTCAGCAAGGATTGGTTTCCTTGGTGTGTTAATGGAACACTTCTAACTCTCTTCCTTTCTTCCAGAATGGAGATGGCTTTGTGGATAATGACACCAAATTCCACAAGATAATAGTGGCCGTCAAAGCAGCTTTAGCATAAAGATGGCTTCGAGGATGCAGCAATAGCTTACTGGGAGAAAAGGTAAAGCAACTGAGTATTTTTGACCAAAATATCTGCTCAAGGATCCTGGTTGGTCCTCACAGAGAGGTCCAAGTTGCTCTTCTAAACACCCTTCCAGACAGGCCTTCTGTATCGCAGGATCTGATCCCAGGTTTTCTGCTTTAAACTGGATTATATGAGTCTGCACTGCCAGATAATCTGGGATAAACAGGAAACCTGGGATCTGATCCTGGGATATAGGGCCTGTCTTGATGGCCCTTAGTTAGAGCAAGCCGTGGTACTCCTCTTTCTTCCAAACCTGTGCTAGGAGACCTGCAGATAATTTTAGGTGATGGATCCAGTTCATACACTAATGGTAAAGGTTTCCCCTGACATTAAGTCTAGTCATGTCCAACTCTGGGGGGTGGTGCTCATTTCCATTTCTAAGCCCAAGAGCCGTCCATTGTCTGTAAACACCTCCAAGGTCATGTGGTCGGCATGACTACATGGAGTGCCGTTACCTTCCCGCTGGAGCAGTACCTATTGATTTACTCACATTTGCATGTTTTCAGACTGTTAGGTTGGCAGACGCCGGGCCTAACAACAGGAGCTCACCCCACTCCCCAGATTAAAACTGCTGACCTTTTGGTCAGCAAGTTCAGCAGCTCAGCAGTTTAACCCACTGCATCACCAGGGCTCCCATAGTTCATATGCTAGCTCTGATTCACTCATTGTCTATTATCCTTGTATATCTAATCCAAATATGAATCCTGTATAAGTTCTCACAGACATATAAAGCTACCATTTTGCCTCTCACAAAACAATTGAGATATTTTTCAGGTGCAAAATGGGTCACTTGGGCCCAACTCAGTTTGAACAAAAATAATTTCGTAATATTCGGTGGTTCATTTAATATAATCTCAGAACACAGACCAGGTAGTAGGGAATTGAAAAGCTCGGCAAAATGGATTGAGAGAGCTTGATAGCTACTGTAGAGGATAGAGTTAAGTGCAATATACCTGAGGCAGGTGTCTAACGGGGCTCCTGGAGAAGATGGGATTATTGTAGACCAGCGTCTTTTTCTCCCTCCCCAGCAGCAGCATCCCTCCATTCCTTTTTGGAAAGTTTCCTAGGCTTCTCCTCCAGAGAGGGCCCTGTTGGGAACTCACTTTCCCAGCAGCACTTGCATGGGGCAGGCATTGAAAAGTCTCTGAGTTGCTCTCGGAGCATGATAGGAGTTGAAGTTTTTCTTTCTCAGTCAATGAAAAGCCTGGTTGTGTCCGTGCTCTGATTGGCCGAGAATGGACACAAACAGCAACTACAATTCCCAGAACCCTCTCTTGTGGTTTGACTTGTTTTATAAAATGTTATGGTTAAAACTTAAAATAATTCTAAAAAATCAGTAGATTGGTGAATTGTTTTGAAACTTGGCAGGTCTGCAGTTGTAAACGTGGTCTAAAGCAGAGGTAGGTTTTATGCAGATTGGCCTTAAAATGACTGAGGATTGACTGAGGATGAAAACAGCAACACCTCTCCCAATTAGAGTAACTTCTTGGTAAACAGAATGTGAAGCTATTTTTTTTTATTTCCCATATTTATACCCTGCCCTTCTCCCCCCGAAGAGGGACTCAAGGATAGCTGACAATGGACTCCAAAACGGCATGCCTTTTGGCCAAATTGCACACCTCTCCTCATTAATAACCTTGTGTTTTTTTTTTGTTGTGTCAGGAACGACTTGAGAAACTGCAAGTCGCTTCTGGTGTGAGGGAATTGGCCGTCTGGAAGGACGTTGCCCAGGGGACGCCTGGATGATTTGATGTTTTTATCAGCCTTGTGGGAGGCTTCTCTCATGTCCCCACATCAGCCAATCAGAGCACGGACACAACCAGGCGAATGAGGGAGCTCATTTGCCTCCTCCCGGATTCGAACCTGCGACCTGTCGGTCTTCAGTCCTGCTGGCACAGGAGTTTAACCCACTGCGCCACCGAAGGCTCACCTTGTGACATTGAAAATGGTCCATGCCTTAAAAGCTTTTCTATTTGCTGTGTCTGCCTTCCCTTGGCAACTTTGCCTGATTTTTTTCTTTGGATGCCTACACTGTTGTTAACTGCCATTCAGCTTTGACATTAATGAGAGACCTCCAAGTCACCCTACTATGAACTGTCCTGTTCAGGACTTGCAGAGTCTGTGCAGCAGTTACTTTGTAGATCAAGACTATTCATAATAATAATAATAATAATAATAATAATTATTATTATTATTATTATTATTATTATTATTATTATTTATACCCCGCTTTATCTCTCCTGAAGGAGACTCGATTTACCTGGATTATTGTCTATTTTTCTATTGTCCTTCTACCTTTCTACATTTTTGTCTTCTGTAGAGAATCACATTTTCTCATAATATGGCCAACCACGACAGCCTCAGTTTAGTCATCTTGGCTTTTAAGAAGAGATCAGGATTGATTTGCTCTATGACCCATTTATTTGTCCTTTTCGCTTCCTAAACTGTATCAGCTTAGCTTCCAGGCTGTTTAGGTATCTTCCCAAATTGTAGGGACCCGAGAATGCACATACAACAATGTTGTGTATGTTAACCATTTTCAGTGTCTCTGCAGGGTTAGAAATTTGGGGAGTGAAGGCAAAATGAATTGGGGAGGCAGCAGATTTTATCCTTTCCCATCCAACAGTATTCACAAATTATATGAAAACAATTGATCTGCAAATCTCTTTTGAAGCATTTGTATATTTGGGCAGTAGTAGTAGATTGGTAGAAGTAGTTGTAGATTTGCCTTGCCAATTCCAAAATATTGTAACACAACTTCTGCCTTTCTTCCTTGTTTGTTAGCTCAATGAACCCTCTGTTTTGTTCATCGTGGCCGAGCGCTTGATGACGGGAGCCGCTGAAATGTCGTCAGACGCGTGGCAGTTCCCCGAAACCCCTTTGCGTAGGATGCCATTTTGAGCAAAGCCTGATGAAGACCTTGAGTTTATTTAACACCTGAATGGCGCAACAACTAACACTTTGGTGTTATGTGTGTTCTGTATGCGATCTTTCTTTGTGGTGCTGGGTTAATATTTGAATAATTCTGGCCTTTTGAATATTATGAGGGATGGGAATGAACATGCCCCCACTCCTGATCTTTTGTTTCTGGGCTCTTTGGATATTTAATATTTTGGATATTTAATATTCTCAGATATCTTCAATTAAAAATAAGGAATGAATACTTCTGCTATTGCCATGGAGTCCAATCCCCTCAAATTTTGAATTAGTGTTAAAATTGTAAAAGACACAATTTGTGGATCTATTTCCATTCCTAATTTTCATGTTGCAAGACTTTGCTTTCTTAATGCGCACATCTGCTGATTTGTTTCTCTTGAATGCAGTAAGCCTTTAATAAAACGCCTCTTCCAAAATGTTGTTTCCTGTTTTCTTGCTCTTGGGAGAATATCCCAACTTTGCATATTAAAAACACCTGGGAGTCACTCTGGACCGTTCTCTGACCTACAAGAAGCACTGCCTGAACATCAAACAAAAAGTGGGTGCTAGAAACAATATCATACGAAAGCTGACTGGCACAACCTGGGGATCACAACCAGATACAGTGAAGACATCTGCCCTTGCGCTATGCTACTCTGCTGCTGAGTACACATGCACACAGCTAAAACAGTGGATGTGGCTCTTAATGAGACATGCCGCATTATCACGGGGTGTCTGCGCCCTACACCACTGGAGAAATCACACTGCTTAGCCGGTATTGCACCACCTGACATCCGCCGGGAAGTAGCAGCCAATAGTGAAAGGACCAAGGCAGTGACATCTCCAGCTCATCCCTTGTTTGGGTATCAGCCAGCACGTCAACTACTTAAATCAAGAAATAGTTTTCTTAGATCTACAGAGACACTCGCTGGAACACCTCAGCAAGCGAGAGTCCAAAAGTGGCAGGCTCAAACCCAGCACCTCAATCCGTGGGTGATACCAGATGAGAGACTCCCCCCTGCGCACACAGAAGACTGGGCGACTTGGAAGGCGCTGAACAGACTGCGCTCTGGCACCACGAGATGCAGAGCCAACCTTCAGAAATGGGGCTACAAAGTTGAATCCACGACATGCGAGTGTGGAGAAGAGCAAACCACTGACCACCTGCTGCAATGCAACCTGAGCCCTGCCACATGCACCATGGAGGACCTTCTTGCGGCAACACCAGAGGCACTCCAAGTGGCCAGATACTGGTCAAAGGACATTTAATCAACTACCAAGTTTGCAAAATTTGTGTGTTTTTATCTGTTTGTTTGTTTTGTCCTGTTAGAAATGTAATACAATGTTCTGGTTGCGGATGACACGATAAATAAATAAATATTAAAAACACACCTACATTTGACACTCCTATTTTAGATTTGATTGGAAATGGGTCTCTTAAGTGTTCATGTGAATAAGCTCTTGGCAAGCCACTACTGGTCTTTCAATGCCATGGATTAAGTCTGGTATGTATTTCATATGATTAGATTTCTAAATGAGATTTTGTGGTCCCTATTGTTCCCGTCCATTAATATAAAACGTGATGGTTTTCTGTATCCTATAGAATTCCATTTGCTTTGAAGCATCATCTCTCCAGGAGACCTTGGAAGTCTAAACTAGCTCTTACACTAATAAAATCACTTTGTGGCCCTGAAAATGGATTTATGGGCATATTTTTGAGGTTTCCTGGTCCTCTAAAAGGCATTTTGGGATGCTTTGAAGTAGCAACAACAGTAGTGAGGGTCTGAGGGACTCCAAACCCTTTGTTATGTTTTTTTTTTAACTATTGGGCAATCACTCGTAGCCTGAGGTTGATGGTTCTCGCAAGTTTAGTGTCTTGGCGGTGAGTCCATTCATGGCTATTCTTGATCTGCATGTTCTCCTGCAGTGAGGACATGGGTTTCCGGTCAAGGTTGGCTTTATGCACCTTTCTCTTAGCACGTTTCTCCTTTTCGCCCTCCATCCGTGCCTCCTCGAATTCTGCAGCACTGCTGGTCACAGCTGACCTCCAGTTAGAACGCTTAAGGGCCAGGGTTTCCCAGTTCTCGGTGTCTATGCCACAGTTTTTTAAACATACCTAGAGATCATAGAAGCACTTTTTGACTGGAGGGCCACCAAAACGGTGTTTGTGGGGCACTTTCTGAAGGAAGTGCAGCTGCATCTTATATAGAAAACATTCATGCTGCCTGCTGGAACACACTTCATTCAAAATACATTTCCTTAAAAGGAAACTAATCGTTTTGGCAGGAGTTGTGGCTAATAATTTGTAGCTATTATAGAACATTTAAGGGCTAAATCTCCCATTTTTCAACCCTGGGCAAAGGGCTCTTTGGTACCCTGCTGTGAGATTTATGTGGATGTCTGGCTTGCCGTTGCCATGACAACCGAATGCTGTAACTTGGGCATCGCTGATCTTATAAAGCACCACTTAATGGCCCTATCGCAGCCCCACAAATGAAGTTGTTCTCGTTCCACTTTATGTGATGGGAGCCTGACAACGGAGTGGAGGCAACTGAACTACCAAATGAGACTTTTTAGTGCCATGTAGATGAAAGTATAAAAGAAGAACTTGCTGCCCAGTGTCCAAAATTGTAAAAGAGAATAGAGGGAGGAATAAATGGGAAGAAAATGCATTTTCAGTAGGATCGCTTCTCTGAAATTGGGTTATTGTGAGTATTTCAGGTTGTATGGCCATGTCCCAGAAGCATTCTCTCCTAACATTTTGCCTGCATCTATGGCAGGCATCCTCAGAGGTTGTGAGGTCTGTTGGAAACTAGGAAAGTAAGATTTATATATCTGTGGAATGTTGATTAGCATTTAATGGTTTCATTTAATGAAACTGCTAGACCAGTGTTTCTCAACCTGGGGGTCGGGACCCCTGTGGGGGTCGCGAGGGGGTGTTAGAGGGGTCACCAAAGACCATCAGAAAACATAATATTTTCTGTTGATCATGGGGGTTCTGTGTGGACAGTTTGGTCCCATTCTATCGGTGGGGTTCAGAATGCTATTTCATTGTGGGTGAACTATAAATCCCAACAATTACAACTCCCAAATGGCAAGGTCTATTTTCTCCAAGCTCTACCAGTGTTCACATTTGGGCATATTGAGTATTTGTGCCATGGTTGATCCAGATCCATCATTGCTTGAGTCCACAGTGTTCTCCTGATGTAGGTGAACTACAACTCAAAAAAACCTCAAGGTCAATGTCCACCAATGTCCCAATATTTTCTCTTGGTCATGGGAATTCTGTGTGCCCGGTTTGATTCAATTCCATCATTGGTGGAGTTCAGAAGTCTCTTTGATTTTAGGTGAACTATAAATCCCAGCAACTCCAGCATTACCAAATGACAAAATCAATCACCTCCAACTTCACCAGTATTCAAATTTGAGTGTATTGGGTATTTGGTGCAGTGACTGAAAATACATCCTGTATATCAGATATTTAGATTACAATTCATAACAGTAGCAAAATTTCAGTTGTGAAGTAGCAACGAAAATAACATTATGGTTGGGGGGTCACCACAACATGAGGACCTGTACTAAGGGGTCGTGGCATTAGGAAGGTTGAGAAACAGTGCTAGACCATTCAGTGCTAATCAAGGTGGCCAATTGAAACATTCACACTTGCCTCAAGCAGACAAGAGTTCTTTCTCCCACCCTGGACAGAGATATACAAACCCCATTTTCCTAGTTTCCAACAGACCTCACAACCTCTGAGGATGCCTGCTTCCTGGATAGGTTCGCAGAAGAGACTATAGAAGTGAAGGGGTACTCAGCAACCAGATTCGTAAGGTGTATAAAGAAATGGAGATTAGCAAATTACAGCAAAAAAATTGGACACGATAAAATTCAAGAGATAGCAGGAACACAATATGGATTAGGTGCATATTCACCATGATCTGCACATGTAAATCTGTCCTAAAAACATCGCCATATGCTGTTGTGTTATATTATTGACCCCTATGTATGTTGGAAATAAGGTGTCCTTTTATATGCCCATTTTAAGTAGCATACTATATTAAATAAGAAGACATAAGCTGCAGTCTGCAAAGGAAATTTTGCTTTGGAAGGAAGACAAAACGTATTACACTTAATTTTCTGAAACATTCCCAACATTGAGCTCTTAAAGGGATACCATTCAGTTGCAAAGCAACATGTGTTCATTTGTGCCGGAGAATGGGAAGGAAATTAAGGTATCGCTACCATCATGCATATCATTTTTCAGCTAAGCCCCTTAAATTGAGCTTTCTCCCTGTTAAATGTAGTCTAAATGAAAGCCATATAACATACATAGAAATCACTGTGTATTTAAAGCGCCATTGATGTATATGGTGCTTTACGAGTAAACCGGGACTGGGCTGTGGCGCAGTTAGTTAGCAGCCAGCTGCATTAAATCACTACTGACCGAGAGGTCATGAGTTCGAAGCCAGCCCGGATCAGAGTGAGCTCCCAACCATTAAGAGTCTAGTTTGCTGTTAACCTATGCAGTCCGAAAGACAGTTGCACCTGTCAAGTAGGAAATTTAGGTACCACTTTATGCGGGGAAGCTAATTTAACTAATTTTACGACACCATAAAAACTTTCCAGCAGCGTGCATAAGAATGAGGAAGTACTCTGTCAAGGACTCGGTGTCACAAGTGAACGGTGAAGGGGCAGCTCCTCCTGTGCTCAGAATCGAGCATACCCTCATGAAGCCGAAAAGCTGGAATGTTAAATTGCCTCTGTGTCTGTCTATAGATGTTCTATGTCTAATGGCATTGACTTTTTGCCATGTATATGTGCATTGTAATCTGCTCTGAGTTCCCTGTGGGGTGAGAAGGGCAGAATATAAATGCTGTAAATAAATTAATTAATAAACCAACTAAAAACAATAAGATACAATCTAAAATATATGTTTGCAGCACACACACACAAAGAACGCAACTGAAACAAAACATGAAACTATACAATATCACTGCAAAATAAATTATCCAGCTATAATACACACACACACACACACACACATATACAATATTGTATATTTTACAACAAATACATATATGGTACTTGAAATATACAAGATTACACAACAGTATTAAACTAAACTGAGCTTTGGAAGTTTTAGTTGAGATTCTGAATAGATATATAAAGTGTTTTTATTCCACATTTTGGTCAGAAAAGCTTCTAGAGCAGTTTACAAGCAATTTGTAAAATACAGTTTTACGATTTAAAAACTCATGGAACACAAGGATGGGGGATTTTTAAAAACCCAGCTGCCTAGTAATGCCATAAAAGTTGTTTTACAAATTTCAGGCTGTAGAGTAAGTGACAATGGAGCTGAAAACAGAAGTATGCCCACTAGGAAATCTGCTCCAATTACTTAATTTATAACGCTGTAGATATCAAATTTGAAGGTAAG